ATGAAGGAGGTATTGCTATTTCCATTTTATATTAAGGGCAATAGAGTTCAGAGAATGCTAACTTGTTGAAGTCACTCGGCTCAGTATGGAACCCAAGGCCCTGAGTTGCTTTTTAAGGTCACACAGAGAGAAATGGCAGAATCTGGAATTTTCTCCAGAGTTTTTAATAAATTGGTTAAAAGTCCCTGCTTTTAACCACCATACTGAGCTGCTTCTCCAAACCACTGCTAAGCTCAGACAGAGTCTCCCTCTGAAATTGTCCTTACTTCCTTTCTACTTCTACTAGAACCATATAGCTCAAGCCTTCAGTATTTCTGATTTCAACTACTATAATAATCTCCTAACTGCTCCCTCCAAATTTCTTCTCTACCCTATCTAATCTATCCTTCCCATTGTTACCAGATTAATTAGTTTAAAGCATGGGTATAATCATATTACTTTTCTACTTAACACCCTTCAGTAGTTCCTCATTACTTCCTGAATTATAAGTAAACTTGGCATTCAAAGCACTTCATAGCATGGCTTCAACTTAACCACTCCAACTTTTTAATTTCCCTATAAGTCCAGTGGATTAATTTGAACAAGCCCTATATCTGTCCACTTGAGTACTTCTGCTCGCGCTGCTTTTTCTGCCTGCATATAATGTCTTTAACTACTGCCTCTCCCTGAAAAAGTCCTACATATCTGTGAAGGTGTCTTAAATGCCATCTTTCCCACAAAGCACTTCTCATTCAAATGTATTTCTATCCCTTTTGCCCTTAGTTCTCCTACATTACTTACCTTTCTCTCTTTTGAACCATCGTTATTTATAATGTCTTATTTTGCTTTGATATTGTAATGTCTCTGAGGGCAATGACTGTGTTTTATATGTCCTTATCCCCTGTGGTGCCTATTAACAGAAGCATGCACAAGGCAAATCTGCAGTAAAAACTTATTCAATGAAAGTGAATGACAACCTAGTTACATTAATTCTCGACATAAATAAATGTAAAACAATTTTACATTTATATCGTAAAGAAAAAAGTGTTTGAAATAAAATTAATCCTTAAAAATAGGAAGGTGCTAAAACATTTGAAAATCTAGTGAAAAACAGGCAGAAACTTTACAGAAAAACAGAAGCAGTGGATGAAATCCTAACCCTTTGTACTACAAGATAAAAAATGTGTCAACCATGTGAATAGGCACATGCACAGATAAGACTATTGGCTAATGGGGTGTTACCTTGGCAACTGTTTGTTCAGCAATGGTGCTGGGCCGACGCTGCCGGGCATCGAGTCTCTGCTCCACAGGAAAACTGCTCCTATGTGATTTCAGGCGCTCCACCAATAAGTAATAAATGGCAGCAAAGTGATTGTAGCTCTTGTTCTGCAAAGACTAAAAGAAAAAACAAGTGCTGAGGCAGAGAACCATAAAAACCAATCCAATGATCTATCTTTCTAAACAAAGATGGAAGAAATCATGTGTTCTTAAAAACAGAGTAACAAAATATGCCTCAAAATTAAAGCTGTTCCAGAATTTAGAATGAAAAACAGATCATTTCAAGTTTCCAGTATCAATTATATAAAGGTATCACCCTGAAATGACTTGACTGGCCCTTTTACATTAACGGGATCTGTTTATTTTTCTGGATTCAAAGAAAATGCCACCACTGTCTCATGGAGACATTTCCCAATGCTGTCAACATGGTCCCATTTCATAGCTGTAACTATGGTGCAAAGTTGGTTAGCAGCCTGAGCCCAGAGGTTCTAATTCCATAGCTTCAACACAAGTCCAAACCTCTGCAAACTCTGAAGTGAATATTAAAGTCTTTAGGGAACTTTCTGGTGATATTTTGGGCTGGAGAACGACATTTGGATGCTAGATTGAGACACGGTGTCTCCGTTCTTAGGTAATTTTTTCCTCTTGTTTTTGCAATCCCGCCCTCTTGAAACCTTGAAAATAAAAGTTGCTTCCCAATTTTTCACATCTCTCATCAGCCAGCTTTACCAGGATACTAACGGAACAGAGAAATAACTGCTCTGTTGGCTCCTAATTCCACCTGACAATCTGCATGGGCACCGTGCAGTGCACCTCAGAGGCAGAGTACTCTCAGAAAGAATCCCAGACCAGAGGGACTGTGCTCACATATGCCATTCTGGATCTACTTCGTGGCCAAGTACAGAAAAACATCACTGAGCATGTGACGAGCAAAGCAGGAAAGCCAGTCTGGTTTCACTTATGGCTACAATGAAGGAAAAGGCAGCACAACGGGGCATTTCATATTCTTTCTTGTTATGGCTTCTCCTTTTTTTTTTTTTTTTTTAATGTTGTGGAGGTAGTAAAAATATGTATATCTTATGAACATGCTATTAAAGACAGAAACAAAGGTGATGAGGACTTTCCAGGTTCATGACATTTTTAGTCCTATGACCCATAAGACTTCCATATCAGGAATCCACCAGTTTACAACCTAAATCCTATTGGCTTTCTTAAACCTGATGCCTACCACCCCTGTTTTCTGCTCAGTGCTCAGCCTTATTCCATATCTACACGTTTATGTTCCATATAAACAAGTTTATTAGCTATGTAAAACTTTATGCTTCATTTTAGAATATTCTACTTTGTTAAGCTTCCATCTTTACCTTTTCTGTCCTGCATAAACCCTTCCTTTTGAATTTTTGGCAGATGGGGCAAAGGGAGGAATTTATACATTGAATAAAAGCAAACTCTGACATAGCCTTCAGGAAAAACTGAACAGTATACCTAAGTGCTGGGGATTGCCATGCTAAAAGACCTGGATGACTGAGGGCTGAGCATGAAATTTCAAGTTATTGAGTACAACAGAATCCTAAAATATCTTCAGTCAAATCTCTGATCACTTTACCTCAATGGTTTTCTGTTGATCTATTCCAAGGCTGTGCATCAGTCGCAGAACCTGTTCATTAAACTCCCCAATGGATGGCTCATTTTCTTGCCCTTGTGGATAGAGAACAGGTCTCTGTACCGGAACTTCTACAAGCATCCACTTATGCTCTTTGATTTGGGCTATGGTTAGCCGCTTGGACGGGTCTAGAACCAACATCCTTCGAATAAGGTGCTCGCAATCTATGGAAAACACAACGTTACAAAAGTCACGTAAATCACCTTGCACTTCAGGGAATTTGCTTGATTCATGTGACTTTGTACAATGGCATTTATTTTTGAATTCTCCACAGTACCCACTGGAAAGCAGAAGGTCAAATGAATTAAGTGACTACATGAAGGTTACTTATATTTGTCAAGTTCACATGGTGAATGCTGACACAAAAAGTCAGCCATCACCATGAATGAAAATTTAAGAAAAACAGGAGCCTATAGATCTATCCAATTCTGTGCTAAATGAACCTTTCTACTGAATTTAATAACTGAATGTACCTAGACGCAGACTTAGATTTCCAATAACAACAACAACAAAAAAACCAAACAAAAAAACAAGCCTTCTTCTTAGCACAAACATATAATAAATGGACCCTCAATCACTTCTGAGGCTGATATACTTGAGGCTATGTAAGTGAGGCAGGAGGTCCCCAGTGGATTGATGCTTTCTCCACATCAGTACAGCTGACAAAAATGTATGTGAAAGATTATTTATTTCTGATTACACTAAGAAAACTGCACTGCTGCAACTCTGGGCACTAGCTTATTCTTTGAGCTGACAACATGCTCTTTTCCACCCTGCATAAGCTAAACTTAGATCACTTGTATGTGCCAGACACCATGCTAAGTGCTTTATACAGATTAATTTAATTAATCTTCATGACACCCCTATTAGAAACTATGGTTATTTCCATTTTATAGATTGAGGAAATTGAAGTGCAGAGAGGAGATATAACTTGCCAAAGTCAGACTGCCAGTTAAGTGCTGAACTCAAAATTAAAACCAGGCAGCTTGGCTCCAAAGTCTACACTCTTAAGTATTAGAGCATTATTTCTACTGTTACTAGGACAAAAGAGTTAAGGATGATAGCCAAAAACTAATCTAAGGAATAAACGTAACTTCTGCCTATGTTACAACCCAATACAAAACTGGGAGAGATTATGGCATTTCATCTTAATTCAACAGTTTTGCTGGCTGGTTTTTAAATTTAATTAAAAAATTTTAATTTTGCAACTTCCTGCCAAAGGCTATGGGAAAATCCATTTCAAATTTAGAGTAAAATGGTTGTGAATCTATATCTACAAAGAGCTTCTCCCACTCTAAAGTAAACCTGAGACATTTATAGACAGAGAGTAAATGAGAAGACTTGCTGTTCTTGATTTGGGGAACTTTCTGTTTTCAGTTACAAATAGGAAGGCTATAAGTTTTCTCACCTATATGGAAGGGGTTGCTTATATCTATGGCTTTTAAAGTAACTCAGTCACTTTATTTCGTACCCAAACTCTGAGAAAAAGGGAAGCTTTGCCTAGGCATTTCATTATAAGCATAAATTCTATAAAACACAATTAGTAAGGTGAACAGGTTGTTACCTTCTGACATAAAATATGGAATCCGGAATCTTCCTTCCAAAACCCTTTGCCTCAAAATAGGAAGAGTCGGTCCATCAAAAGGTAGAGCTCCACAGACAAGTACATAAAGAACAACTCCCATGCTCTAGGGGAAGAAAACAACAGGGTCACTTTTCTACCAAGAACTTCACTTGTTTTCCCAACATCCCCAAGGGCTCTTAAAATCATATGGACTGAAAAGTTCCTGTTTGAATTTACTATTTTCTCAAATTTGAAAAAAAAATCTGAAACCCTTATTACTACAGTAAGGTATTCTATAATAAATACCAAAATACCTAAATGTAATTATTTTGATTACTATTTAAGTTCAAATCTGTCTGTAGAAATTCTTTCCTAGAATCCAAGATGCTCTGTCAAGTAGACAGGAAAAATATGAGCTATTCCTTATGTTAGGCACCAAGAACTTCAAAGACTGGCCATAGTACCAAGTATTATCATTATAGATGCATTTAACACAGCAAAGCAAAGAAATACCCAAATATCCAGCTGTGGTCCTTCATACTGCTGCCCTTCAAAGACTTCAGGGGCTGCATAAGGGGGGCTGCCACACCATGTTGCCAGCAGTTCACCATTTTTAAAGAAATTTCCAAAACCGAAATCTATAGGATGGAAATAAATGTTACTTTCATCTATGTTCTCAAGCTATACTGAATTTCTTTGTAACAAATTTTATAATATGCTATATTAACATCATCACTATAATTTACTCTGTGAGGAATGGAATGACATCTATCTTGTGATGTTTCCCTAGCACTTAGCTTAATGGCTAGCAAATATTAAGTATTCAGTAACTATTTCTTGAATGAATATATAAATGAATCAAGTTTTCTACTCAAAGAGAATGAGTAAGAGATTGGAAAAATATTTTCAATAATGTATTTTTAAAGCTGAAAGAAAATCTATTGGTGTGGACAACCAAATTGAATTCAATAATCTTAGAATTTTCCCTGGACTCCATGATTAAGAGTTCTTTGTCTTATACAGT